CCCTTATTGGAATTGCAAGATTCCAACATGTCTCTCATGCAAATCATTATGCATCATCTCCTCACCAATAGGAGCATGACATGCTCACGTGACTCCCTCTACACTCCTCTACCAAACTATCACTTCGAAGTTTGGCAGAAGATGTCAGATCCAGAGAAATGTGGGGAGGAAGGGTGGGAATTGTGAGAAGAGGTATCTATTGGAAATACATTTTCAGTATAGGAAAATTATAACTTCCGACACAGTACTAACCTCTTCTTACAAGATTAGCATCTGAAGTATACTCATGGAAATGAGAGATTAAGATCTGAAGAGGAGAACTGCACCACATCTCAGCCAGGTATACTCTTCACCCAACTGTATAATGTGTAAGATATAAGGGTGGAAAATAAGAGGAGCACATCCGAGTGGGAGAGAATGTGGCAGGAAAGTAATCCTAACCATAGAAATATACTGTACCTCAATCCCAAAATGAGAAAGGTGGCTTAAACAGAGGATACATCCCTAGGTTTGGAGTGGCTAGGGCATGGCAGACAGTACTCAGTAAGTCAACTACATCTAAAAGGAGCCCACAGGGTACTGACATTTGCACAAGGGTAGGATGAGGATCATACCATCTTCACATCAAACCCAAGAACAGGGGATTGAGAACCACTCCAATTCCCAGTTATGACACGAGTATTAGCTGTGAGTTATCGATCCGGGAACTTGACATCTGGTATTGAAAGGATGTCTATCGCATGCAATCAACTCCCCCAACCGTGAAACAGGCTGGGACCATCCAAATGGCAAAAAATTCCTGTAAGAATAAAGGATGAGGGATAGCCAGGGACAGAAGTGGAACAATCCCACATACCACCGCTGTGACCGTGATATGATGGAGATAATGGGAGATGAACGTACTGGGTGTGGTCCACATGTTGGAATGCAGAATTTCTTCCACTGGACAACAAAGATGAGAAGCAAGGGAAAAAGTGAGGTGTCGGATCTGATGGGAGAACACCAAGAACAAATTCCGGGAGGAATAAGCCAATCAAACCAAAAGACAGACCCAATTGGTAGGGACAGAAGGTGAAAGATCATGAAGGGAGGACGACTGCCAGGGGATAAAGAGTGTACCCTGTAAGAAAGCAGTATGGGCAATATAACAACAAAGAGCCCTGACTGGGCACAGTAGCCTATCTGGATCCAGTCAAGGGAAATGGAATAGGAGAAAGGGAGGAACCACATTCCCAAGCTGCCGGGGTCTTCGAGAGAAAGGAAAAGATAGGTAGGGTGATAAAGGGTATGTGAAACGTCAATGGCAAACAAATCAGACTGTCAACGTCCACAGGCTAAGAGAAGAAAATATGTTTCAAGGGAATGATGAAACATGGAACACAAAGAAAGTGGTTCAAACAGAGGTAAAGTAAGGGAATGGAGGAACACATGAGCATGGTAAGGACAGGGGAAGTAAAAACTCCACAGTATCGGAAAAAACAAAAGGTACGTGTAACTAAGTGTTGGAGACATCTATTTTGGTCATCCACAACCCCAGATAAAACTCCCATCTCAGAGTAAGAAAAGACTCCATGGGGAACCTGGGTAGTGAAACGAACCAGCTGAGGCCAGATACATTGATTACCAGCCACCAATCCCCAGTTTTCTTGGGGACAACAAAAAGGTAGGATTAAAAACCCAAGGAAGGAAATGGGGTAAGAAGAGACAGGACGTGGGGAAAAAAACTGGACAATGAATCCTTCTGACAGAACCTGAAGCACCCATTGATCGCTAGCAAAGGAATGCCAGCAATGACGAAACTCAAACAGCCAAGCTTCCACTGGACCAGAACCCCCTGGGTAGTCACAGGTACTGGTGACAGGAGTGTTTCGGAATTCATTGCACAGAAAGGTACACCAAATTCAAGTGCAAAAAATAAGGTGACTAGAATTAACTAATAAATACTAATAGAAGAAACAGGCTGAATGAAAGCAAATTAATTTAAAAAACAACCACTTCGTGAGGAAACAAAGTTGAATGTGAAGCATTAAACAAACAAAAAGTAGTCTGAACAAAAGCTCTGCCAAGTGAGAAGTGATAGCTTAGTATAGGTTGTCACATGAGCATGTCATACTCCTATTTGGTGAGGAGGTGATGCATGATGATTTGCATGAGAGACATGTTGGAATCTTGCAATTCCACTAGGGAGGAGGGGAAGGCTTGTGGTATGCATAAAGAAAAAGTTTGCATATAGAGAGCAGCACTGAACAAAAATAGCTAATCTTGTGAGAGGAGGTATGAACCGTGTCAAAAAAATTAATTTTAACCTGTCCCAAAAATTTCTCAAATTCTGACAAATTTAGGAAACTACTTTGATGACTAACCATTCGACTTTTCTCAAAAGTGTCTTTCTGAGCC